CACCCCTTGTGCCCACCCCCCACCCCCATTGCCCGTGGTAACCACAATACAGTTTTCTCTGTCCATGTGTTGGTTTATATTCCACATATGAGTGAGATCATATAGTGTTTGTCTTTCTCTTTCTGGCTTATTTCACTTAACATAATATGTATGTATTTTTAAAAGCTCTCTGTGTTGTCTTTTTCATCCAATGTACTTTTCTCCTGTTTATTCATTTAAACATTGCATTTTTTGTCTTGTGATCCTTGGCTGCCTGCTTGTATTTGAGAAAGGGGCACTCACTCAAAAGCTGATTGGCAGCTCTGTGTACCTGACCTGGGGATGTATCATTTGTCTTGACCATTCATTGGGCAATTCCTTTGTCTTCAGGTCCTTTGTTTTGGGTTGGTCAGACTCTCCAGAGAAAAAAATCTTCTAATTTCCTGCCTGGAGGAAATAAATCTGGCTGCCAGCATTCTGTGTATTGAGTAGAAAGAGAGCGCTAAGGGCCTCAATATTTTGTATGCATGGTAGGCAGAATAACGGCTCCCTAAAGATGTCTGTAGCTTAATGCCCAGAACCTGTGAATAGGCACATTTACGTGGCAAAAGAAATCTTGCAAATGTGAATAAGTTAAGGATCTTGAGACAGGGAGAGTATCCTAGATTACTCAGGTGGGCCCAATGCAATCACAAAGGTCACTATAAGACAAAGAGGGAGGCAGGAGTGTCAGAGTCAGAAAAGGAGATGTGGCAGCAGAAGCAGAGGTTGGAGTGAGGTGGGGCCCCAAGCCAAGAATAAGGGCAGCCTCCAGAAGCTGGAAAGGCAAGGAAATGGATTGTTCTGTGAACCTCCAGAAGGAATGCAGCCCTGCCAACCCGTTTTAGACTTCTGACCCCAGAACTGTAAGATAACAAATTTGTATTGTTTTAAACCACTAAACTTGTGGTCTTTTCTTATAGTAACAATAGGAAACTAGCATAGTATGTAAGCTTTGACCTAATCCCCCTCTTTTCATTATAGAACCTCCACTATAAACTGTGCCTGATGTTCTAGCTTTTCCAGAGAACAACCCTCCAGTCTTCTGCTAGGGTAGGAGTGGGACACGTTGCTTTGCTGCTGAATAGAGAAAATGTCTTCCTATTCTCAGCCAAACTTCACCTCTGCTTCCAGAAGTACTTAGTGGTACCGATTCTTGGACTTTTGGTGGCTCTGTGGGGAGTAAACCAGGTTGCTTTCGAGCATCCCCACTGCTGGCTTAAGGTCCAGATTCCTGGTCTGCTAAGTCAGTTGCCACTCATCCTTCCACTTTCCAGCTTCCACAATTTTGTCACTATTATTTCTCTTTAGTTTTCTTTGTCTTTGTGGTGGCTTACCTCCCCCCACCCACTTCCCCCCAGAAAGCCCTCTACCATTTATTATTATTTCATTGTGATTGGAGGGAGTAGAAGTACATATATATAGTAGAAGTACAGTTATGGTCAATCAACTTTGACAAAGTTGCAAAAATATAAGTGCCATTATTTTATACTGCTGTTTCCTTGGCATGGTGCTGGATTGTATATTATACATTTAGAACATGACATTGTGCCAGTAGAATTATATATGATATATGTCAATATGGCATGTGGGAGTTAAGATCAATGGTTTTGTAGGAGGGAGCCTGGGTTTAATTAAAGGTTTTGCCACTTATTAGTGGCATGACTTTGAGCAAGTCACTTAACGGAGCCTTAGTTTCCTCATTCGTAAGTAAGTATCTGTAAATATGGTAGAAACCATATTTAACTCAAAAAGTGATTAAAAGGATTAAATTAGACAAGATGTTGGATAAAAACCCTTGGTCCACCACATACCTCCATTGTGGAGCAGAATTACAGGAGAACCAAGATTGAATTATATAGCTATTATATAGATAGACTTATAGATAATTATAGAATTATATAGATATTACATAGATAGAATTACGTAGATAGTACATATGTAGAGATATGTACTATATATATATAGATATACATATACATTATATAGATGTGCCCTTCCTTGTATATAACAGGTACTTAATATTTGTGGGATGAATGAATGTCTTCTTTTAATGACGTATTTCAGAAAACAATGAATATAGGGATCCACTAAGTGCTACGTGAACCTTAAAATAGGCAAAACATCAAAATTAATCCTTAAGTTTTTTTTTGGTTTTTTTTTTCGAGAGGAAAATTAGCCCTGAGCTAACATCTGTTGCCAATCTTCCTCTTTTTGCTGTCGCTGCCTGGCTTGATGAGCAGTGCATAGGTCAACGCCTGCGATCCGAACCTGCGAACCCCAGGCCGCTGAAATGGAGCACGTGAACTTAACCACCATGCCACCAGGCTGGCCCCTAATCTTTAAGTTTTTAAGTTTCTCTTCCCCATCCCCTTGTCTTCATTCCTTTTAACAGAAGACTGTATGTCAAACTTTTAATTATTCCATTTGCCTCAAAAAAAATCATGGATGCGAGATTAACAAAGAAATATAGAGCAGCCTAGTCAGCTCTTTTCTCTTCAGCTCTATCGAGAATTTAGACTAACTTCTTAATTAGCCTCTTCGTTATTTCCTCTCTCTCAGTCCCTTCCCCCCAATCCATTTTCCACACAGCACGCAGAGTGATCTTAAAAAACAAAATGCATATCAGAATGAATCACTCCACTGCTTAAAATCTCTTATTGGCTTCTCATTTTTCTAGGAATAAAAACAAATCTTGGCACAACCTACAAGGCTTTGCAAAGCTCCAACCTCGTCTTCAGCCTCATCTTACTTTGTAAATGTCTTCTCTCTTCAGTTCTCTCTCTTATCTTGTGAAGTGTCTCATATGTAGTCACCCCTCAATATATATTTGTTGAGTAAGTGGATTGATTAATGAATATATTAGAAAGAAGAAGGATAAATTTAAAACTATATAATTTTAAGGACTTGCTTTTATTTTCAAATTTTCCTACTGGATCAGGTAAGAAAAGTGCTATGGACCCAATGGCTTGATAAATGCTTCCTTTTGGCTTTGTCTTTGGAGCCAAGAAAATTGCTTGGGAAAAGAGGAGAGACTCCGGATGGAAAAGCGGGTAGGGAGATTATCTGCTTTCTAACTAATGTACTGGGTAGTGTCATGGAGAGAAGGTGATTGCACTGAGGCTAATTTGCCTCCAATCAGACAATGTATACATAGATCCTAGTACAGTGGTGGGCACAAAAAAGCTGCTCAATAAATATTTGTTGAATTAATGAATAAAAATGGCCTTCCTGCTTTATCATATGCCCTTCAAGCTGCAAGTAATTCTTTGTGATTCTTTCTTAATGCTGCCATTAAAGATCACTTTTGCCCATTTTGAGCTGTATATTTTGGTAGAGGGAAAGTTAACATGTTTTTTGTCTAAGATTAGGCCAAGTCATGCTATTTTAAGGATGACTATCTTAAGTCCAGTTTAGAAGAGGCTCATTTATTATTCTGATTCATAAGTATTTCCCTGCACATTCACAAAAACTATTTCCTTTCAAAGTCACTAGAGATCTCATTTCTTAAGTCTTATGTAATAGCTGGAAAAGGAGTTTGTTTGAGAAAGAACAAAGAACTGAGCTATAGTTTAATAAAGATGGGAATGCAATATGTTATTGAGCATTTTTAGCTGAACTCCCTTGGCTCCAAGAGCAGACAGTGCGGTAAGCACTTCCATAAAAAAGTGAACCAGTTGACTGCACTGGACTGAAAGAAGGTACCCACATTCACATGGCCTCAGGAGCTTGGCAAAGGGTAGTCTGGCAGAGTTTATGACAGTCTCTTATGGGATAAGATTGTGGGGAACTACTAAACCCCTTCTGGCATATAAAGGTTGTAATTGTCTGGTAGTTCCTTGAAATTCCTCAGCCAGAGTGGTATTTATTCAGCCTAGGGATGACAAATTACCTTAGCTTGTATGCCAGGACAAAATATTGGTGATGGCTGCTGGAAACCTGTTATGAGAAAAGTTTTGAGGTCGTATTTAGGCTCATCAAGAAAGTATTGTCATAAGTTAGGAATGCCAGTGTTGAGTTTTGGAATGGGGATTGATGGCACAGCTCATATTCAATATCCTTTTTTAAGGCTTTTGTTTTGTTAAAATCTAAGTAATTATATCTAAAAATCCATTTAATCTTCACATAAACTCTATGAAGTACTGTTATAATCTTTTTTTTTTTTTTTCCAGATGAGGAAACTAAGGTACAGACATATTAAGTCTCCCTAAGTATATAGCTAATTAGTAGTGGAACTTGTATGTGGTCATGTGCTTGCCTAACTCCAGAGTCCAAGCTCTTAAGAACCATATACTTTTCTCTAAGAATTCTGGAGTGCAGATATTTAAGGCTGTTATTACTCATTTATACCCTAGATGGAATGAGTTTCTCTCTATTCTCTTACCTAAGATGGGAAAATATAAAAGACTAATAAGGTTGTCAAGGCTGAAGACAAACTTTAGCTACTTTATAACACTAAGACTGATTCTTAGTCTAAGTATTGAAAACATGGCTTAGAATATGACTACTCTAGTCAAGGAAATATAAATTATTTCGGATCATTTTAAGGATGGAATGTAGCACATCTATACCATTTATACCTTGAGATCCCATCCAAGTAGAAGCAGTTTTCTCAGATGAGATTTTTCACCCTTTGAAACTTTTTATTCTAAAAGTAAAGATGTTAATCAGTATGCCCTGATGAGATTCCAAGGGCAGGTAATTATATTTTGTTTTCTTAACCACTTAAAGCATATTCTTTTAATGGGATGATCTCTCTATTTATGAAAATATATTACTATCACTTTCTCCAAATATTTATTTCTGTAATTAACCGTTAAAATCACGTGTAAATGTGTAATTTATAGTATCCATGTAAAACAGTTGGGGTTTTACCCAAAGTCAGGGAAAAAGACAAAACAAAAAGATCTTCAAATATTTTAGTTGGTGTTAGTAATGTCAGAATACGGTTTCATTTCTTGCCTGTTCTTTTTCTTTTACAGAAAAATCTATCATTGCTCAACCAATATTTGTTTTTGAAAAGAGAGAACGAACTTTTAAGGTAAAATCTAGCTACTTTTCTTTGTTTGATTTTTACTTTGACCAAGAAGATTGTATTTCAAGAAGCTAGCTATCCTAAATGATATCGCTGCTGCATGAGTTTATTCTCTTGTTCTTCACTCAGCAGAGTAGTGCCTGCAGAATATTCATATAGTAGGGATTTACTGACCGCTATTTGGTTGAAATGGGAAGCGAGAGGCCTCGTCTTGAAGCTGTGGATAACATGACACTTTTACTAAAATTATGGGTTTTTTGGGGGTGACTTGGAAAGGGGAGAGACTGAAAGAGATTAGGAGGGCTAATGCTCCTCATGGGTCTCCACCACTGACCTAGCCTAAAACTTGGTATGAATAAGTTCTAAACTGTGATATTTGATTTAAAAGGGATCTTACGGATCCTATCTGCTTTTTCAGCATCACACTAAAATTACCTGCTTTGAAAGACAAACTACAAGATTAGTAGCATTCTCACTTTAGCTTAATCAGTATTTTCTTGTTATTCGTTCTTGCTTATGCAGCTAATTTATACTACTATGCACAAAACTAAAGAAAAACTCAACCCCTAAGCCCTGGTTGAAAAAGCAGATTCCTGCCCCTCCCCCTTCACCCACCCAGGTCAAGTGCTTCAGAATCCTGAGAGTTGGTGTTTCAAAATCTTCGTTTTAAACAGGCTCCCGCAGGGGATTCTGCAGTCACTGAAACATAAAACCACTCTGATAAGACTTTGCTTTTTCTTGAATACTTGCCTGGTGAGTAAAAGTGAGCGACTTTGTCCTGGCCTAGCTAAATAGACCTGGCTTCTGAGAATTCTTTTACAAAGTGACAGGGTGGAAATCTAACATAAAAATAGCAAACACTCAGCTCTCACTGGCAGCTTTGTTTCCTTCCAGAGACCTGCAGAAGACACCCTGTATGAAGCAGCAGAACATGGTAATGATTTACACCCTGTATTTCAAAATCCATCTTTATACAAAGGCAATAAGCAGGCACAAGCATTTTGGCATGTGGCACAGACTACATAAAACTTAATGGTCTTTCTTGTGTTTAAACATGAAAGTAGACTGGCTTTTATTTTGAAAGGTGACATGCATGTCCCTGAGAACACTGATGTTAGCAACTCTAAAATCCCATGATTTTCCACTGCCTGTGTCTCAACCAACCAAAAACATTCTTATACAATCTCGGAATTCGTCTGCAATTTCTTGTTGAAGCCACTTGTTTTTAATTGTTTCATACTAGGATGGTATGCCTATCGGTTTCTAATCACCAAGCTGTTAACTCCAATATTTAAGATTGTGCTTCAGGAGCTAACATGTTATCAAATAGTGATATATAGACAAAAGGAAATTCTATTTATCCTCCCATATCATTGGTTGGGGATAATTTGTTATTGCAAGCAATTTTACTCTTCGCATTGAATTTCTTGCAGAATGTAATGGTTTTTCAAGAAAGCGCGTACGGTCTTCATCTTTTAGTGTGCATACTGCAGATTCTCAGTCCCAAGGAGGTAGGTATAGACTTGATGGCATTGGCTGTTCACTGTTATGTTTAAGTGTGAAATTACTAAGAAGCTTTTCAAATGGATAAGAAAGTCTACTCATTGGACAGTGTTTATAGTACATTGTTATATGAAAACACAATCTATACAATGGATTGTACAGTGAGTCACTATTTAAAAATTCAATGTATCAACATTGGAAAGGACACAGCCCAATGTTAGCAATGGTTATCTTAGGTAATGGGATTATAAGCAATTTGGGCTTTTTCTCTCCCTCTTTATATTTTGCTGTTTCCAAAGTTTCTGCATTAAGTGGGTATTAGCTTTGTAATTAGGGGAAACTGTCACATTCCCCTAAGTAAATATCTACTTAAATAGGTAGATGTCTGCCTTTTAAAAAAGACACTTTATTTTAAGAACTCCATCATATACTGTGTTCTGAGTAAATCACTAACCTGGTTTGCCTCTCTTCTACACGCAAGCTCTCTGGTGATTCCTTTTATAATGGATCATATTGCCTTCTGCCTTGTAATACAGCTATTTATGTGAATGTCTGTCTCCTCCACTGTGAGTTCCTTGAGGTCATCTTCGTGCCTGATAGTGTCTTACACATGGCGAGCACTCAAATATTTATTGAATTGAATGAAAATTAATTAATAATTCTCAGAAGAGGTACACTTTTTTTCTGTTGATAAAAATACAAAACCTTTTCTAAATTACTGATAGAGAGATTTTTCTGAAAGAACAAAAGTCCAAATCAAAAGAAACATAAAAACCCACTTCTTTATTGACTTCAGTTTGCAATCTGCTTTTAGCATCAACTTTGTCCCAGAAGCGAATGAGATCATCATCCTTCACCGACCTCCCGACCTTCCCCCCTTCTGGGCCAGGTAATAAAGAGCTTATAGAACCTCAAAGCCAGCACTCTGACTTTTCAAAATCCATTCTCATTAATGGTGAGCTTTCTTTCTCAGCTATTATAAAATGTTGACATTTAATGGCAAATAAAATAGAGGCCTTAGCAAAATATGCGTAGAAGAATACCTTATGAATTCCAACTCCACAAATCCAGACAGTATATCTGTTTATTTTTGGTAGAAAGTTTGAACTTGATGATGTTTTTTCAGATTTCATGTTTATGATAGCAAAATGTTATATATGGCAGCCCTATACAATAACTTGCTTTATTTTACTTATTATGGTCCATCTATACGGTTTATAATATATACAGTACTCAAAATATACAACTATGCTTTAGATTCTTATTCCAAAGTTTATATTTTAGATTTGTATTCTCAAGTTTGGAATATGATTCCTTTTGAACTCTTCACTAATTACAACATTACTTCTTTTTTTTTGTTTTTGTGAGGAAGATCAGCCCTGAGCTAACATCCATGCTAATCCTCCTCTTTTTGCTGAGGAAGACCGGCTCTGAGCTAACATCTTTTGCCAATCCTCCTCCTTTTTTTTCCCCCCCAAAGCCCCAGTAGATAGTTGTACGTCATAGTTGCACATCCTTCTAGTTGCTGTATGTGGGACGCGGCCTCAGCATGGCCGGAGCAGCAGTGCGCAGGAGCAGCGGTGCGTAGGTGTGCGCCCGGGTTCCAAACGCGGGCCGCCAGTAGCAGAGCACGCATATTTAACCGCTAAGCCACGGGGCCAGCTCAACATTACTTCTTTTTATTTGAAATTTGTAATGCTTTGCTCAGTGAAACTATTTTATCATAACAAAGTATTTGAAGTGGTTGGAACATTCGCTACATTAACGTTATGATTTGATTTCTTGTGTGTTTTTGTTTCTACTGAACAACCAACTGCCTTTTCTGAGTTAAGCTTACCACTAAGAAATAAAAAATACAAACTATTCACTTCCTTTTTTTTTTTTTGTGAGGAAGATCAGCCCTGAGCTAACATCCATCCCAATCCTCCTCTTTTTGCTGAGGAAGATTGGCCCTGACGCCAACATCCGTGCCCATCTTCTTCTACTCTATATGGGATGCCGCCACAGCATGGCCTGACAAGCGGTGCATTGGTGCACGCCGGGAATCCGAACCCTGGCCGCTGTGGAGCGCCCACACTTAACCGCTACGCCACGGGCCGGCCCCTAGTCACTTCCTTTTAACTGATCCTTCTCTACTTGGGAACCACAGAGTTTTCAAACCAATGAGGTTATATTCTTATTAATAATTGCAAGCATGACTGAGCAACAATATGTCAGACACCTTTCAGATACAAAGGAAATACTTTCTGCCTCAATAGGCCCCATCTAAACCCGGCTGGCAAGTTAAAGATGAGGAATAGGGGTCCTGTTCCTAGAAGATTTGGTTTATTGAATTTGTGTATAAAGCAAAGGGATGGCTTTAAGTTATCTGGATATCTGCTTCAATTCGTTTTTTTTTTTTTTTTTTTTTGGATCAGACACACATACACCAAAAGAAAGAATGAATAAAGGAACATTGATATCATAACTACCATTCCATTTTATGTTGTGCAGAACGTTGGTGGTGTTGGAATAGAGAAAAATAGTACAATTTTAATATGGCCCATTCATTGTTGATTTTCAATAATAAAGATCACATTAAACCATTTAATTGAACTTTGAGTTAGAGAAGCAATTCTACTCCAACATTTAAAATATGTTATAATATTTTGAAGAAGTGAGTCTTATTCTTTTCTCATCTCTGTTAATCAAATGCTCCAAGGTTGCTGTTTCTGCAATTTACAACTGTAGGGGAGGAAGAGATTTCCTCTGTGCACTCTAGGTCCTTCTGGCTGGGACAAATTAAATTAACATGAGACAGAATAACAGGAGAAAATCAAACAAAGCTTTATAACATGTATCCGTGGGAGAGACCAGGAAAAACTGGGTAACTCAGCCATCTGGCTGAGGTTGTCGTCTTAAATAGCATCTTCGGCTAAAGACAAAGGAGGATGTTGAGGGTAGTGGTTTGAGACTTCAAAGGGGAGGAAGGCAATTCACATGCAGATGGAAAAGCAAATGTTTGGTAAACAGAACTTTGATAAGAATGGGCTTAGCAAGGACGCTCACAGTCTACCTACACCCAGAGTTATCCACGGCAATGGCCCATCCCAGGGACAGGCCTTTTATCTTAAATTCTTTTACGTGGTTAGGGGAAAGGCCAAAGTTTCTTTCAGAGTCTTTTGTTCTTAAAAATAATCAAGCCAAGGCAAAGAGACACTTTTTTGGGGTGGTCAGTTCTGATCCCCCACGCAACCAAGGGGTAATCTCTTTGAAATGTATAGTAATTCTATACTTGGAGCCGCCACCGCAGTCTTACCCCACCAATACACTTCATACAAAAATAACCTACCATAATGGTCATCTGTACTTTTCTCTTCAGATAGCATTGGAGAGAAAGAGAGGCAGAATTTGCTAACAGTTTTACGACATTCCATAAGAAATATATATTTATGCACACAGAGGGTCCATTACTAATTCAGATTTTATAATCTGTAGAATTTCTCTCACTACTCTATTTCGTGATTCTAGAGAAGACTGCCTAATCTGTTAGCAACCTTGTATTTCTGAGAGTAAACAGAATTATGTAGCAAAGCTCTCGTCTTGCCATCAGGCATCTTAAGCAGAACCCGTGCTCTCGTGGGCACTGCCTACTACTCTTAGTGCCAACAGCGACATCTACCGGTGAGTTCAGTACAGTTAAAGCCCAAATCATGTAGAAAACTGACACAGTCTCATAGATTCAAATTTTTCTAAACATTTTTTCTTACAGTGAAGAAAAACAATGTTTTTATGACATCAACTCTTGTGCAAAGGAATATTGATATGAATAGTGTGGAACAAGGTATGTAGCTTCTCTCTTACAAGAACCTCAGAAATTTTACATTTTACCATCTATATTTTAATCTGTGTGAATGTGTGTGTTGGGGGCATGGAGGTAGGGCTGAGTGACAAAACATGAAGAAATATATTTGGTAAGCTGAGTTTTGTGGTCAAAATGCATAGTAATTAGGTAAAAGCTAGGCTGGAAGTAAGTAGTACACATCACTGGCTATTTTGACTGATTAGTTAACATTAACCCCTCATTTAATGATGACTTTAGAAAATAAGCATTAAATTCGTCAAAAATAGAGAGGAAGAAGTATTTCACTAAAGATACATTGACCTTTAATTCTGTTCTTTTAAGGTCCTGTGAAACATTCTGAACATGTTCTAAGACCTGCTATTTTGCAGCCACCTGAAGCTCAAAGGTGTGAAAAAATAAGGAAAACATTTGGACACAATGCCTTGGAATCATGCAAGACTAAAGAAAAAACAAAAAATAAGGTAAGAAAACCTCCTATGGTAGGACTGACCTGAATCCCTCATCCTTCTTTTAGTAGATTGCTGTGGGCCCCATATCCAGAATTAGGGGCTGCCTAAGCTTTGTTCTGTTGCTGAAGCAGCAGCCAGGCTGGAGAAACACCTAGACTAGACAGCAAAAAGCCCTCGGTAACCTTATTAAACTTGTCCTCTTAATTGGAGAGTTGTTCCCAGGAACAAGTCTTGTGGTGTCTCCCAAGTTGTAAAGCTGAGTCCTAAGCAGTGGGAACCCTTGGGGTCTTGTTCCAGTGTACTGATCCCATGTGAGAATAGGGGGAGCAATGAAGTGGCAGGGGCCGGGAGTCAGAAGTCAAAAAAGGGACAGGGATTTTCTGCATCCTCAATCAGTTGACATCCTATTGTGGCTTTGCCAGTTTAGGTCACACCAGGGACCCATCTTCATTGATAAGAGGAACAGGGAACTACCTACGCAGTGTAAGTGGGAGAGCTTGGAAAGCCTCTGGAGACAGATAAAAATTCTCTCTTCCAACTGTTGTAGTGGCTGAATCACTCATCGTGGGCCTTTCTAAGGCGATATTCATTTTGCTCAGGCCCTGCAGATATGGGTTTGGAGCTATTCTGTTGCTATAGTTCTAGCTGTGTCCTCCAGAAGCAGACACTTGAGAGGAATGCAACACAAGATCGGTAGGTTGGAATTTGAGAGTTAATTCCATCGGTCATTTGTTTCCAGCTGAACTATTGAGGGTTGGTCACCTAGTTTTGTTTTGTTTTCCCGTACAAACATAAGGACAGTGACACATGGAAGTGTTAGAAATACCAGTCATTTCATCAATTCAGTGAGAAAAATCCGGATTGGTACTAATCCTGCCTCTGCCACTAACTACATTTGCATTCTTGGACAAAGCACCCAACCTTCTCTTTTTATCAGTGAAGTGAGGGAGTTGAACTTGGTCAGCATTTGCCAACATTTTTTTATTTCCAATTCTTTTTCTTTGTAAGATATGATTTCATGAGACCTATTGTGAATTTTAAAAATCATTTCATCATTTATGCATGGTATATGATGTGATTTTTAAGTAAAACGTTTTAAATTTCAAGTCAGTATTTCATTAAAAGTTTTCATTTAAATATCATAATTGTTACTATATAATACATAAATTGTTACTTTTATCTCTTTAAGAAGTAATGCATATTGTTTAATTTGTTTTAAAGTATGTAATAAAAAAGTATGATGTGTTGACTAATTTCTAAAATGTTATTATATTGCATTTGATTTTGGAACAGCATAAATTATATATTAAAATTTTTATTACATGTTATGATATCAAAAGTAGATGTAAATTTGTTCTTTGGCATGAATTTTTTGAAATTTTGCATTGTATATTTTAAAAATAAAATTTATTAATATATTTCTTGCACTTTCTTCATAAATGATAAAGCATAAGAGAAATTTTCAGGCTATGTGCAAGCATTTCTTCCTGAATAACTTATTAAGGGTGTGAATAAAACTTATTCCTAATTAGTGAAAGGCCTAATTGGATATGCCCTTCATTGAATTTTCTCTGTTTAATGATGATCTTTGAAGATCTAAAGACAACTACTGTGTGAGAATTCTGACAAAATAAATGTAATTTATAGATCTAGTGAAAATTATGTGTAGGTGAATTTTATAGAACCGTTATTTTTATGTTCCTTTTTAACTTGTATATCAAAATCAGAGCAATTTTTATTCATCCTGTCATTAATCAATGGTCAGTTATTGTGTACAATTTAAACAATATATGCCTAACAGAAACTATTTTAAGCAACATAAGAGTAAAAACTACCATTTGGGCTGAGAGATAAATCATCTGAGTGACCGAGTCATGACCACGTACCTTGATCTTTGCTAACCAATGGCACATACTCCATATTTCTCAGCTCTTGAATTCTGTTATAAAGGGAGCAAATCTCAAAATTTATTTTTATTGATTGATATAAAATTAAAGTGGAAACAGACCCCATCTCCGTTTAAAGAAGTGAACTCCGTGCAACAACTTTGCAAATCCCTGGTGGGGGAAGGGAGGTGTCCACAAACATTGTAAACACTAGGTCAGATAATTTATAGGGCTCCTTCCGGTTCTAAAATTGCTCACTCCTTAATTTATACATTAATACAGGTAATGTCCACATGTCTATACACATCAGCCAGAGTAACTAATTGTTTAAGTTACCAGTTGAAAGTTTCTAGATGAAGAAATGAATGGAGTTTCCTCTCACATTGGGTGGCTGTGATGGTGAAGCTCTTAGGGTATTTCTAGGGATTAACTAGTCCTGAAAGATAGATTTACTAATCTACAAATGAGAATTAACTCAATTTGGCTGATAAGGTAAAAAGTAATAAAAGGAGGTAGGATTTCTGAATATTATGACTAAGTGTAGAGTCTCTATGTCAGACAGACCCAGGCTCAAATGTCAGCCTCCTTCCTGGTTGCCCAGACTTGGCCAAGTTATTTAAACTTGTTAGGTCAGTTTACTCATCTATAAAATGTGGATAATAGACTTACAAAGTGTATAGAGTTGTTGTGAGGAGTAAATGAGATAATGTATACGAAATGCTTAGGGCAGTTCTTGAACATAGTAAATTTTCAATACATTTAACTATAATATTGTTTCCTTATCTGGTGCTCCTATAGTAAGTAATTTAAATGAACTTTTTGATGGATTTCTTTTCTTTCAGATTTCTGAGGGGAACTCCTATTTGCTAAGTGAAAATTTGCCAAGTGCCAGAATTTCAGTCCAGCTGTCTCCTAACCAGAATGTTTTAGAAGCTACATCAGTAGGGTATGTTAATGATGAGGAAACAGAGGTGTTGTCTTTTCATTCTTGCTTTCTTTTATCATTATAACCATTTACGGAAAATAATTTTCTGACATTGTACAGATAAATTGCCAAGATTTCTGTTTGAAAGGAGATTCTATAAAGAACACAAGTTTAAAATGCTTTTCAACATATCTCTGGTATTCAAATATGATCATACTAATAATATTGGATTGTCTTCATTGTCTCATTGACTTGGGTGAGAATGTTTCAAATGGTTTGGCTAAACTTTTATTTAGTTAGACTTTAATTATCTGGCTACTAGATTAGCCTTTCCTCCTCTTTCTCTGGAGTTCTTTTTTTCCCTTTTTAAAATTATTTTTGGCATTATTTATTATTTATTGACATAGGTTAGATAGACAACAAAGAAACCAGTATAAATATGCAAAATGAAAATTAATATTTACTAGTGTCACCAGTGATGAAAACCTGTTTGATCCTAGAAAAGATTAAAACTAGCCCTGGACATAACTGGACTCACACTATTAGGGCCCATGCAGGTACCCTAGCACTTACCTATTGTGCATGCTGGGGATTCACTGGGGACCCTGGAGCGTATCTGCCTACAGACAGAAGGCTGCATGTCTTCAAGTTTCTCATCATGCAAAACACTTTTAACATTAAAAAAAATTTTCTGGGAGAAAAAACCAAATTAAGCCAATGCACACTCAAGTATAACTGACAAGATAGATTGGCTTGGCTTAGCCCTGGAGACCTCTGATGGCTAAAAGCATTGGCCTCTGGGGGAAGAACAGAGTGAAGATTAGAGATGGAGAGGCTGTGCCGGAAAAGTAAAATAGCAAGAGCTGGGCAGCCTCCCTGATTGATCACAGAGTCAGTACAGTGATGGGCACAAGACATGTTTGGACTGGTCTCAGCCAGTGCTGCAACACTGTCAAATATTTTGAATATCATCCCTGGAAGTACCTATCTCCATTCTCCTTCAATTCTCATTAACATCACATAAACGAAAGTTAGCAGTAGATGTTTTTATGCTTTACATAAATCTATTCAATCATCTGATTTTTTCACGTGCTAATGTTTAAAATGACTTTATCCATATATTTAAAATAGGAAATGCTTATTTCTTTTCCTTAGATGTCAACCAAAAGAAGATAAGTATTCTTTTAAAAGCTACAGTTCTGATTTCGTTTTTGGAGAAAACATGGTAGAAAGAGTTTTGGTAAGATTTTGGCAAATGTTTCTATTATTATATAGAAAGCTGTCACTTTGAATTCCTGAAGGCAAATTAATTAAAACAATGTTAAATTAGAGCATATTTTTTAACTCCTGGGTTTAAAGGCACGTTTTCTTTCTTTAACTAGAAAGATTCTCCTGGGAAGCAAGTTCTAGTTGTTAGAATAAGAGAATGCACAGAGGAAGGGAACTGTATAATTATAACATTAGTACTGATGAGAAATATTAAATAATTCTCTGACTTGTGTTTAACCAAAGGTACCCGAGGAAATCTCAGGATTATCTGCAATAGTTAGATAAGCTCAACTGGTAATGATATTTTAACATAGCTTTTCAATAGGATTTTTCATAACAGGATGCATTTAAACTCATTTGCAAATTTGTCTCATTAACGCTAATGCTCCCCTTCAAGCTTTTACATTAAAAAGCTTTATTATAACTTTTTTTTTGCTAGCTTTAAGAGGAAAATCATAGTACTTTATTTGCCTAGGGGAATATACTTGCCAAGTGGAAACCCCCAGCTATTATTACTGTCATCCTTACTTCATATTGAGCATCATCCCCCATGAGACAGTTGGTGCTCTGCCCTCGATAGGACATGTTTCTAAAACACAGCATAATCTACAGCAGGGAATTATACAGCAAAGTGAAAGCTGTGGAGTACATGCGCCTGTGGTTTCATCGGGTCTATCACATCTTCATACCCCTTCCAGCTTTCACCAAGACCGGAATCTTGGCTGAGATAGGCCAAGGTGGTTAGCATGTCTTAGGGCGATTAGATACATGAAGAATCCCAAGGAGGCTATACAGATTTTAAAACCTGTGTAAGGGCTCAGAATAACAAAAAGACCAACTCAAGAGGCCTGTTTATTTCAAGACTTTTGGGGCTTTTGCAAATCAGTCACTTTTAAGATCTAGCTTATGCTACACTGCCTCAGGCTAAAGCCCAATTCTAAGAGTAGTATCATAGCTTTTTAGCTTAAAGGGCACCCTTCTGTCATTCCCAAGATGAATGATTTGTATTTGCCTCTAGTTAATCTTGTAATCCTGGGCCTTTGTGATTTGGGGGCCAGGATGCCCTCCCGACTTGTTTGATGACCCTGTGCTTTTAGAGTGAGTCATTAAGCTTTCTGTGCCTTAGTATCTATTTTCTTATTTTCTTAAAATGGAAATAATTACACCCATCTCTACTAATTTTAACAGACTATCTTTTGTTTTTTTTTGCATGATATTTTTTTCTTTTTGGTGAGGAAGATCAGCCCTGAGCTAACATCCATGCTAATCCTCCTCTTTTTGCTGAGGAAGACCGGCTCTGAGCTAACATCTATTGCCAATCTTCCTCCTTTTTCTCCCCCAAAGCCCCAGTAGATAGTTGTATGTCATAGTTGCACATCCTTCTAGTTGCTGCATGTGGGATGCGGCCTCAGCATGGCGGGAGAAGCGGTGAGTCAGTGCAGCTCCGGATCCGAACTCCGGCTGCCAGTAGCGGAGCATGCGCACTTAACCGCTAAGTCACGGGGCGGCCCTAGCAGACTATGTTAACGTCAAGTTAAATAATGTGAAAGAATCTTGAGATCATATGGGAAAAGATATAAACCTAAGTTGTGAAGTATTGTTCCAATTCTCCCTGTTCTGCAAGGGGCTATATAGTTTCATAAATGGCACAGCAATTAGTCTTTTTTTCACACAGGCGTTGATTACAACAAATGTGTAAAGCCCCAGGTAGGCAGCTTTAAAAGCGATTGTTGGCAAAAAAATGTCTTACAGGCAAAGTTAGGATTCTTCCTATAAAGATGATCTCTGAGACAGCTAGTGAGTTCTCTCTTTAATTTTTTTTAATGAAGTGGGTAGAAAGCGTGGATTTGTGGGAATACTGAAATGCCTTGAAACAGTGACAATAGTTGCAGCTCCTTCTAGGTGTCGGGTTAGTCTGGTGGAACAGCTGCTACCTCCTTTTGGGCCTCTAAACCTTCTCCCATTGTCCCTGGAACTAGATCCCACCTGAAGTAGGCTGGTAGTAACTCGATTATGCTTCCTGAGGATCAGAACCAAGGTCCTCTAATGATAGGGAGGAGTTCCCTGTTCAGCACATAGGAGCCCAAAACAAAAACATAGCAGCTGGGTTTGTTTGCCCTGTTGAGACAGAAGAACAAAAGTATCTTTTGGCTTACTGCAAATATATAGGGATAAAATTAAGTAATACATTTTCTTCCCCCACCTAGGGTACTCAAAAACTCACCCAGCCTCAACTTGAAAATGATTCATACATCACGGAAAAACCATTCAAATCTACTCTAAAATTTCCTATCACCTCTCCAAACTCAAGTAAGAATTATTTCATTTGCAAGGCATTTACTTCAACTATCTTATTTCCTGGTTTTCTATGTCATTTGTTTAATATCTATAAAATACAAAAACAATAGTCCAGAGTTTTACAATTTTTTGGTAAAGGTTAAAGCATATAAACATGGTCACATGATATATAAGCTTTTTGAAAATTTTGACTTAATGATATGGGGAGTCATTAAAGAGATTTACCTGAACTCAGGCAGTTCGATTTTTTAGAAACACTCATTGTTATAAAATGCTATAGAGACCTGTGTGTTAACAGGGGCAACAAAGAACTTGCACAGTAGAGAAAATGGGGCCTTTTATGTGTTTTTTCCCCCTCTATTTTCTCTTAGGAACAGATTTTATTAAAAACATTTCCCTAATTGAATCAGCTGCTGCTTTCTCTTCTAAGCCATCACCAAAATGCTTGCTGGAGAAAATTCATGTAATAACAGGGGAGGAAGCAGAACATAACGTGTTAAAGGTCTGTATATCATTTATTGCTCATGAAGACTGAGCTGCTTAAATAAAAATATTAGAGGCTTCCAAAGATGAAACCAATATTTTGTTGAATTCTTGCATGCGTATGTGTGATTTGCAGGAAAATGGGTTGTTGGGTTTACAACCATTCACATTAGTCCCTTAGGAAGAAGACAGCCAAGGACTCTGGCATGCTATATTTTTAACAAGTTGTCTAGGTGATTCTTGTACACAGTAATATTTGAGAACCACTGGTAAGCATTAAATTCTAGGGTACTGTGGTATCACATCTTACTTCTGATGTGTACAAACAGTTCCATGATTTTTCACTTTCAAATAAGTCGTATAGCTCAAATAACACTAAGTTTAATTTAAAAGTTGGTATATTAGATACAGCGCTAAGTGAAACAGTAAGATGCAGAAAGTATGTATGGTATGCTACCATTTATAGGAAAAAATACAGGAACATATATATGTATTGACATGGATACACATAAAAAATATCTCTGGATAAACAAAATACTAGCAAAAAGTGATTTTCTGTTGCAGGGGTTGAAAATTTGCAGGTGGGGAACTAGAGTTGGGGGGTACTTTTCACTTTGTACAACTTTTTACTTTTTGATGTTTTAATTATTTAAAAATTTTATGTTTTTAAAAGTTAAATAAATTTTAAAAGCTGGTATATAAATCATTAACAAAGGTTATACTGATAAAAGACCAAACAAATAAAAGTGTTATAGCATAGGAAAGAATTTACTTCAAAAAAAATTTTCGATATATTTGACATTTTAAAATATTATCCTTTAGATCAACTGCAAGCTTTTTATATTCAACAAAACAGCACAGTCCTGGATTGAAAGGGGCAGAGGAGCTTTGAGACTGAATGACACAGCAAGCAGTGACTGTGGAACATTCCAGTCAAGACTAAGTAAGGCATCATTTTGTAAAGAAAGACACTATTTCTCAGGGTAAAATTTCCAATATAGGTACATATCATTTTCTGGAGATGTGTGTTATAAAATATGCCAATAAATCAGACTGTTGAAAACAATATTGTTTCTAATGTACTATAGGAGCTTCTGTTTAAATAAAGTAGGCTCCGATGTCAGACTACACGGGTTCCAGTTCTGGCTGCACCACTGATGGACTGGTGATCTCAGACAGTTACTTAACCTCTCTCTGTCCTGGTTGCATCAGTTTAAAATGGGGATAACAATAGTCTATGACTTATTGAGTGATTGTGAGAATTCAGTGAGATAATCCATGTAAAGCACCTATGACAGAGCCCAGCACACACCTAAATAGTAATCTTATTATTATTTAAAGGAATTTCATGAAATTATTTTTGAAGTGAAAATGGTTTTTCTAAAAGAGAATATTTGCTCTGTAACTTATCCTTGACATTCTAAATATGGTGTGTGGGTTGGGATGAAGGGTCAGCTTCCAAGGAAATAAAGGTGTGTGGTTATTGAATCCTGCAGGCAGAGTGATGGCTGGAATCTGGAGTCAAACTGAAAGACTCAGGAGGTTGTTGGCATCCAGAAAGACACACTGGGCATTGTTCAGAGGCACAAACTGCAAGTGGGCACAGGCAGAGACCTGGGCGGGATGGATGGGTTTACCGGTCAACGTTCAGCTGTCAAAGCTGTGGAGGAGACCTCAGATAGAATTGGGATCCAGGTATACGGATATTTGTTGAGTTTCGGATAGCAAGCTCAAGAAATGGGTAAGGAATAGAATTTAGGGATAGGAACAGTAACTGTAACTGGCAAACAGGTTTCTAAATAACCCAACCAAGTATTCCCAAGGCATGTGCTAGTTGTTTTCTACTCTGGTTTAATTCCACTCCTTCCACTGCCGGCCAATAAAAGCACAAAACAACTTTTCTTAGTATCATACAGGTAATCCATGTTCATTATAGAGGACGCAAAATATGGATCAACAAAGGGAAAAAAAATTAAAGTCACTCATAGGCCTGTTTTCCTGTGATAGCCTCGGTTAACAGAATATATTCTTCTGGACTTTGTTCTTTATACATAAATGTATACGTATATTGAAAAATTTGTGATTCATGGTATTTATATTGCTTTGTAATTGATTTTTTCTTTTATGTAATATATCATGACCACCTTTCTACATCAATATTTACCTTTCTTCAATAATCTTAATGGGTTCATAATATCTTGAATAGCTGTACCATCATTTATTTAACTAATTCCATTTTTTGAATGTTTAAAGATTTTCAGTTTTCTCCATTGTAAACAATTCTTGGATAAATATTCTTCAGACCACTAGGTCCTCAAAAGAGTTCTAAAATTTCATCCATTTTTTAATATTATAGTAAAAATATGTAACTCCAGCATTTAAGCTAAAAAAGTCTCTAAAATAATAAAGCCCAATTTGAAAACCAAATTATAATCTAGTCAAGTTACAATTTATAGTGAAAATACAGTCTGAAAAACAACTACAAGATTTACTTTGCTTTCAAAAATGGTACATTCCCGGGCCGGCCCCTGTGGCTTAGCAGTTAAGTGCGTGCGCCCTGCTACTGGCGGCCCAGGTTCGGATCCCGGGCGCGCACCGACGTACCACTTCTCTGGCCATGCTAAGGCCGAGTCCCACATACAGCAACTAGAAGGACGTGCAGCTATGACATACTACTATCTACTGGGGCTGTGGCGGAAAAAAATGAGGAGGATTGGCAATAGATGTTAGCGCAGAGCTGGTCTTCCTCAGCAAAAAGAGGAGGATTAGCATGGATGTTAGCTCAGGGCTGATCTTCCTCACAAAAAAAATATAATGGAATAAAATAAAAGGAGAGGTTTCCTTTAAACAAAAAACAGAAAAAACAAAAATGGTACATTCCCCTGGAAGGCTAAGAATCCACTATTCTGTAGTCTAATATATTTACCGTCCTGTTTTAGTTATGCGCAATCAAGGCAGCCTGAGGCTGATTCTCAACAGCAAACTCTGGGCTCAAATGGAGATTCAAAGAGCAAACCACAAAAATTTACGAATAACAGCTACTGATTTAGAAGACTGTAGCATCAAAGTGTTTTTAATTCAGGTAAGTGACAATTTCAGTGATAGAGGATTACCCTACTATATTTACAGATCTCTGCAATTACTAATTTGTTTTTTTTTAATTTTATTATAATAACCTATACCATTGGCAAAAAAATCAGCCATTCAGTATGATTATTTACAGTCTACTATAAGACCTAAATTTTATATGAAATTTAGAGATTAACACCAAAATCTATAGTAATAAATTGGTACCTGTCTCAGGACATTTGTATTGATATATGCTGTCAAATCTCTGCATTTTTCTTTACTGTTGAAATTATGTCAACAATCTTACTGAGTTACCAAAGGGCCTATTGTCAAGATTGGCTCCTAGGAGGCCAGCAGAATCCACAGCCTGATGTTTATACTGCATCCTGAAATTAAGACGGCTTTGGGATGGCTGGAAAGGAACCGGTGAGAAATGGAAAAATACAGGGCTAGCAAATTAAAACAACCCAGTCCAGCAGCAAATTCCAATTCTGGACATGAGTCAGTTTCCAAGGTAACAGGATGGGAGTACAGCTTTAGCTGTTCCCGGCAGCAGGAATGCTTGACCTCAAATACAAGATCCAGGCACTAGAGAGAGAGCTGGTAGGAATCAGGTCAGAAAAATGGCTGAGTTTCCTCTATGAGCAGAGACCCAGAAGACTGGAGGAGACTGAATACCCAAGTGACTCAGGCATAAGGTGACAATACAAGTAAATTGGCTTTCATATAGTAATGGAAAGAAAAGTTGGCAAGTGCCCATTGGTGAAAAACCAAAGGTTTTATTAACTACCAGTAAATGCACTGTTAGGTGTAAGTGATGTTGAGTATTAAGATGTTAGAGTAAAATGATGCCCAAACCCTGTTTACCATTTAGGGAGATAATACTTGATACTCTGCCAGGCCAGATCCCCTTGGCTTTGAGTGGGTAAAGCAGCCTGCCTAAGACTGATACTGAGACTGCTAACTATGACTAGATTCTGCTGCTCGATATCTGACCCACGCTGACTTTTTAAATTGTAGGATACTTTTTAGAGATTAGCAAATGAAATACAATAAAAATTACCCAAATTCCACTCCCAAATGTCACTATTAGCATTTTGGTTTTATACTATATTTTAGTATATATATATGTGTGTGTGTGTGTACATATATATACGTGCCATACTGTACACACTGTATGACCTTCAGGCATGTTATTTAACCTTCCTCAACCTGATTTTACTCATCTGCCAAAGGAAAATAATAATAATATACTTTATAAAGTAGTTGAGAAGATTAGATTGCCAATATTTGATTGTGAAATACACATATATAACCTTCTTTTCACTTATCAATGAAAATGGGTGTTTTTGTCATTAAATAATAAAAAATCTTAATTCTTAAAAAAATCTTTTAATAGGTGAAAATAATTCTATTCTATCAAGTACCATAATTTATTCCATCAATCTCACTTTGTTAAATATGTACTTTACTGTGTTCATTATTATAAATTCTGTAGGGAAGCTAAAAGGAATTCCCTCTGTATATACATGTTAATTTTCTTGCAGAAAGGTCTTGACTTGTCTTGACAAATTTCTCTTCAGATAGACTGAACCAATTTTCATTCTCACCAGCATTTTCCTTTGGTAATTCCTGGGAATTACAATGTTTTTAAGCACTGCAAGTTTGTTATTCAGAAAATATATCGTGATTTTATTTTTAACTTCTTGTTCTGAATTTCTTGAATGAAAACATCTGAATGAATTTGTCAAAAGGAAATCTACTGACTAGTGAAAGGCATATTTAAAATTTAATGTAAGAAAGTCAAGGTAGTTGAATAATATTCATATTTCAATCACAAATACTCTTTCAAATTTATTAACTTACTAAAAAAAATTGCACCTTTGCACATAACATAAAAAATTAAATTAGTCAAGAGTCAACAAATATTTACTCAACACCTACTATGTAATATCTAACACAATATGAGAAACAAAAATATTTTATTTAACTTATAGTTACTTTTCCCCCAAAAGTAATTAAGGCAACTCAAGAACATGCAAATGAAAAAATATAATTTAAGCCCCTTCTCCCAAAAAGTTGGCATGCAGTTAGTTGAACTCAGTTCTTGGCTTTGAAACATTTGATAGCTCTCCGGAGGATCAGCAAAAAGAAAAATTTTTCCAGATTTTCTTTGAAATTGTGAAAAGATACAAATATGTAAACTACTGCCATGTTACCTTAAAGAACACTGACTTTGATGACAGAAACCCTGGGATTCAGGTTCCAGTCAGTTTGCCAACCTCCTATGTAAACTCAGACAAGTCATTGTACCTTTCTGAGTGATAATTTCCTCATCTGTAAAGGGAAACAAGTGTATGCTGAATAGCTGTGCTATGTGCTTTTGCTAACATAAATGCAATAAATAATTAACCTTGGTTTTATTTTAACAACTTAATTTTTAAAAAGAATATAATAACAGTAAATGTTGTACCAATGTAATTGTTGCCATCAGTTTTTACATTAATAGCAATCATAAAAATAGAAAAGTATTGAAAGCAAGGACTTCTGATGTGTTTAGGTATGTCACAGACTGCTCAAATGAACTCTGCTATTCCACAGAGCTATGCAGCTTGCAGGGGATGTCTAAGTAAAGTGATGTAAGGGAAATGGAACTCCTTGCTCCCTTTAACCCTACAATTGTCTACAATAGTGGAGGAAGGATGGTCTTCAACTTGAATTCGAATAGAAATTTTAAATCACATTTCATTTAATCAGAAAATTTCATTTTCTCAGTTTAAAATGCACAAATTGAGCCACTTATAAAATTATCCACTTTAGGATTCAATTTGGTTCAAGAGGAATTGGCTCTTTACCCTTTAGTTTTTAGGGTTATTTACATTCTAGATTTATGATACATAATTCCTTCCTTATTAATAGTGAAAGATTACAAATCTGTAAAATGTGGCTATTATTAAGTTAGTTATATTGTTAACTTAATTTTCCTCATGCAGGCCAGTGCCAAAGACACAGGATATCTGTATGCAGCAATACATCATCGTCTTGTTGCACTTCGAAGCTTCGAGAAGCAGAAAGATGTAAATCAAGCTGAAAGCCAGTCAGAAACGGTCTTCCAACAATTAAACTGTGATAGCTGTGATGAGGATGAGGATGATTTCATCCAAGTCACCAAAAATAGATCAGGTAAATAACTTTTCTTTTGTTAGGTCAGAGGTTTAAGAAAGAAATCTTACACACAATCCTGATACATGAAATAGATTTTTAAAAAATGGTTTTTTAAACCTGTTTAAAGTGGGTAGGGTGTTAGAGCCCTAGCTGTTCTGATTTGAGGAGTGGGGCTGAAAATCACTGTCTAATATATGTGGCCTTCATTAGGATTTTACCAAAAGTCAGCCTCACCGTAATGCCTGCATATCATTTGCATATAAATTGCACAAAAGACCATATTTACAATTTAAAGTATTACATTGCTACCCTGAAACAACCATTTATTCATATTTCTCTTCACTTGTTCTCATTCTCCTATTATTGGCTATAATAGGAGAAATTGTAAATATTTGTAATAGAGCCACAGGCAAATCTGGCTTGAAACATTGAAAATCCTGTTTTTTCCCTTTTGGAATCTGACTGCTTTATTTTCCAGGACTTTCTTTGCCTGCGGCAAAATGTACTATTTCTTTTATTGTATCAGGATTGATGAATTGAGCAAGGTTGAAGTGGGACAAGCAGTAAACAGATTTTTTAGGCTTCAGTGCTTGTCCTGATGAGGGGATTTAAAATTAAAGTTCATCATTATTTTTAAAGAAAAACATTGTCAAGGAAATAATAAGCCCAGCTTTGTTATATAGATGTAGCTGTTCTAATAAAGTCCTCCAGGTATTTTCAGAAATAGTTTCATTTAGCCTTGAATTCTGCTCTACAGAACACTGAGTGATATGCTTACAAAGATAATGTGTTAGCAAACCATTTTCCAACTTTTAATCATTTTGAGTCTTAAAGCTATTTTAAACATACATAATTTAAGAATCTATCAAAGAACATGTGCAGAACTTGATGAAATATCTTCCTTTGCTTAATACTAAAAATGTAATCAAGAAGAAAAATGCACACAACATGCAGATTGGGATCACAGACTGCTTGACTCAGTGAGCCAGAGAACTACGTCAATATGATTTTTCCTGTTACTATTAAACAAATGGTTTATTATTTCTTGAAATATAAGAAATATCTAAATAAGATTATCTTTTATATTATTACACTGTTTATATCATCAACAATAAAATGGGGTATATTAGAAAATGAGTTGCTATCCATTAAAAATGTTAACTTGCAGTGAGGATTAAATGGTAAAATTCTTTCATCAACAAATGATATATGTTTATGAATAGAATCTATATTCTATTATATTCTATTTTAGGAAAGGAGTGATATGCAACTATCTTCATACAAAATGAGAAACAATGGAAATAATGCAAAGTAAATGCCAGTCATATGAACCCTCCTTTCCCTGCTATTTTTTCCCCTTTCAGTTAGTACCTTCTCCAAGCGGTGTTGCATACAAATGCTAAAATGTTATGGAAGCAAGAAAAAGTCTAATTTTTTAAACTTTGTTGCCCGTGAATTAAGGAAGGCTTTAATTATCTGAAAATGTCATGTTTAAAATTAGCAACATTTTCAAATGTCACTTATTAAAATATAGATTCTATATATTTAATTTCCTCACTAGGAAGCATATTCATGGGTATTCATGTTCAGTTGTATTCAATATTACATCTAATCTGAATATAATATTGTTTTATAAATTATTTTAAATTTATATCAGATTCTTCTAGGTGGACCCACAGACAGTCGGTTGCCTGTTCATGAGCGCTACCCACTATAAACATGACAACATCTACAGAAAGACCACCTTACTGAGAAAACTAAACCATCCCAACTAAATGAGAGGATCCTATTCATTCCTTGAAGAGTTTTTATAGACAAGTTCAAGAAATATAATTTGTTGCAATTAAAATTTTTCTCTTATGTAGTCTAATAATTCTGAGGCTTTACATTTTGATTATTGTAGAGAAAATGACAGAATTTAGGAAATACATAGACTCCAGAAGTTCAAAATTTATCATTTTTGAAGAAGTTAATTTAGAATAGGATTTGATAACTAATTTGGACTATTCATCACATTGATGGATACAATAGTTAAAATTATAAATTGCTGGATTTGATAAATGTCTAACTAAAATATTTATTTTTTCAATCATACATTGGCCATAAAACAAATTTTACAAAATTTCCAGAGTCATTTCTTTGAAAAACACTGTAACTGCATGATAACATTTCATTAAATCATGTTTTTCTTCTGGGAAATGTGTATTTTCATTTAACCTTTGGATTTTCTAATGCTATAAGATTATATATTCATGGTATAAATTCCTTTAAAGAGAATATTTCTTGGACTTGTATCTATTGCACCTTGTATATGCTTGACTCACAGCATCCAATAGTTGTTGAAGGAATGAACAAAATACATTACCTATGTATCAAAACAGTAAGTATACAAAAAGTGAAATATGTTAACTTGTTCTTTGCTTTATTTATGCAATTAAACTGTCATTAATATTCTAGTAGGTGTGGCTGTATAGGCACCTTTTTTTAAAAAAAATATATATATAGTCAAGTGAATTTTTTCATAAATGCCATTATGGTAGATTACAGTAATTTCAACAAACATGCAACAGAATTTTGATGCAACTCTTCTGAGACTTGTTTCAGAGACAATTCATGTTACACAAGAAAATTAGTACTTACAGCCATATTTCATTTTTCAATCCAGTTTGATCACCCCATGGCTTCAAAATGAATTTTGATTGTGACCCCTAAACAATTCCCCATTAGAGTCTGTTCAGGCTGCCATAACAAAATACCACAGACTGGATGGCTTAAACAACAGAAATTTATTTCTCACAGTTCTGGAGGCTGGGAAGTCCAAAAGCAAGGTACTGGCAAGGTAGGTTTCATTCAGAGGCCTCTTCTCTTGGCTTGTAGGGGGCCACCAATCTCACTGTGTGCTCACGTGACCTCTTCTTTGTAGGAGCACAGGGAGAGGGGAGAACAGGTTCTCTGGTGTCTCTTTCACACAAGGGCATTAATTCCATTAGACCAGGGCCCTATCTTCTTAACCTCATCTAACCCTAATTACCTCCTAAGGCCCCATCTCCAAATACCATCACACTGGGTGTTAGGGCTCCATAGGAATTTGGGGAGAACATGATGATTCACAATTCCAAAATGATTTCTGAAAATGTTTTAAACAATGACAACATACTTGGAATAGTGGTTTAACTTTACAAACTGCTACTTTGAAGAACAGTATTCATTTGGACGTATACATATGAATACATATGTTTTTAAAGTTACATTATTACATTACAATACCTTTTACAGTAATAAAAGCAATTATATTTATGTACTTATTGTTAAACCTCAGCTAATGCTTGAAAGTTTAGTTCAGCACATGAAAGTTGAATGAACTCTTTTAGATTATAATTTAGTTAGTATGTTAATTCTTCAAAGTTTTGCTCTTTCCCTATAATTCAGTAACTAAGTAAAAGTCAGGCACTAAGAGAGGCCCATTGATTCTTCCAGTGACTCTAGAAGAAATATAGTAAATAATGTCCTTTACTTCTCAGTTAAGCAATGAATCAAGAAATACAGAAAAAAAGTTAATGTGAGAGAGGAAGAGAGGAAAGGTAGAGAGAAGGAAAACAACAGAGAAAAGAAGAGCTCTAGCATGAAAGGAAGAATAAAAAGAATGCAAAAACAGAAGTTTAAAGGTTGCTTTTTTTAATTCACGAGTGACTCTGATGCAGAAAACACACAGTGGAAAAATTTCATTAGAAGCATAATGTAAACAGGGAGACATTTGGAGAGGATATTAAAGAACTGGTTCTCTTTTCTCATAAGATCCTAGCTGATATCGGAACATTGTGATCGCACTAAATTGTTAAAGTAAAGGAGAGAACAGAGGTCTTTATCTTCTTGACGTGTTCATTCTTGCCCTTAGGGTGGAGATGAAGCAATTTCTCAATGCCTCAAACATTTTAATATAATTTGAATTCATTCTTTCCTTCTGTGATTTTCCTTGTACTTCTTTGCATATACCAAACAAAAAAATTAGACCACCTCAATTTCTGATCTATAAAGAAATACCAGTGCAACAGAACCAAAATAGAACATGAGGAAGGTGGAGAGACATAGAGCGAAAATTTCCGGATTACGTCATGGCTAGTAACAACAGAAACATGATATTTAGCTTACAACTTTCAACCCACTTCCTGTCCACTCTACTATTCCTTCTATAATCTTTATGCAAATATTTAATAATACTTTGGGGGGATAATAAAAATAGAAACATTTTATAGCCGTATCCTTTTTGGCTTTCCTATATCTTTTGTCCCCCTTTAGTGTGAAGAGAGCAATCATACAATGATATTCGATTTTACAAGTTATTAGGTAGGTGATTTCAAAGTATACAACTTCTTAGATTTTCATAAAAGCTTCTTTTATTAAAATTTACTTAGATAAATATTCCCCAAATATACTAGATATACATTTTATATCTAATTATATATCTTAAGATAATCTAAACACTCTCTTCTTTCAACAGGACTTTACCAATCTATGCAGCTTAATTATGGACCATCAAAATGATCTCTTAAAATATTATTTTACATCCATTACTGTCAAAGCCAGGAACCCTCAGTCCCCAGGGTCTAATATTCTATACAGGTCTTCGAGTATCTGTGTGTCATTAAAAAAAAGGGGGGGATGTATATCTTTCATAGAGTCAGAATGTAGACAAAGTGAGCTGGAGAGGGTTCTAGGGATTGGGAAGGATACATCTTAACTTTTGTAAATCTTCAAGTTGTGAATATCACAAGGATATATAATTTTTCCCATAAAATGGTTGAGAACAATTAAACTTGCTTGAGATGTGGCTACCAGGTGGTGGGGTAGACTCATTCACTAGAAAAGCACACCAGCCTTGACAGAGATGGGGTTTGAGTTTGAAACTCAGTAACATTACAGATTATTTTAGTTGTTTGAGGGTAGTCAAAAGTGATATTAAATCCATGAATGCCAGCACTTTTGTTTGTTTGTTTTGCAATGGCCAGATAATACCCAAGTACTGGGTAATTTTTGATATCAGACTTGGAGTAGACAAACTGGAATACATGAACACATTTGAAGTTTCTAAGATGATGTTGGGAAACTATGGCATTGGAGGAGTTACTGAAATAACTGGCAAATGTTTAGCCTAATAAAGACTTGATGATGTAATAGTTTTCAAAAAATTAGAGGATTACCAAAATTTCTTAATTTCTGCCAATCTAGTAGATATAAAAGACTATTTCACTATTTCCTTAATTTATAGTTTTCTGATTTCTAATAAGGTTGAGGATCTTTCACACATTTAGTCACTGTGTTTCTTCTAATAAATTCCTATTTATAATCTTTGCAAAGCTAATCATGTCATTTCTGACTTTTAGTGGCTTCCTAGCAAATACAGGATGAAAGCCAAGTTCCTAAGCATGGATATATCACTTTCCATGTCTTTCTCCCTGCCTACCTCTCTAGCCTCACCTCGCACTGTTGCCTACCTCTCTCTAAATTCTCTAGGAATTCAGAACTGCTATTTCATTGCTCCATACCTTTGCTCAGGCTGTTTCCTCTGTGGAATTCCTTTCTCACTCTTGCTGATTCTGGCTAACACCTACTCATTCTTTAAGGCTTAGCTCATGACATTTCCAGAAAACTTTCCCTAACTCTTCTTAGGCTGAGTTAAGACTTGTTACTTTAAATTTCTATAGCACCCTGTGCATAACTCTACCATTGCATAAACTGTATGTTCCTTAAAGGGAGCGACTACCTTTTATTTATCATATTCTCTCCAGCACCTAGCAGGGTGCCTGGCCCATAGCAGCCAATCAAATATAATTTGATCTCCATTGACATACATTGTATGTATAAGACTCAAGAGCTATTATCCAACAGGAAGCTAGAAATCAGGATTTGAAGCTCAGGAGACAGTCTGGGTTAAAGATACTGGTAGTAGCTGAAGTCCTGGAAGGGGAAAGGGGCTAATATTTGCCGACGGTATACTTTGTAATGGGCACACAGCTAGGTGTTTGTACATATATTTACAATGTTACAAGGTGCTATTATATTTTATAAATGAAGGAGTAGGCTCAGAAAGGTTAAGGAACTAGTCCATGGTTGACAAACGTATTAAATGGTAAAGCTAGGATTTGAACCAATGTCTTTTTTAAAATCCAAAACCCAAGCTCTTTTCATTACCCAATACTGGATGAACTCATGCAGAAGAGTGGAGAGAAAGAGAAAAGGGAAGGGAAGAGAAGGGAAGGATAGATCCTGAAGATGAATTTAGGAAGAACCCAGAAAGGGGACAGAGAGATAGGAAGAATACCATTAGGTACTGGTGTGTTTGGAGCCAGAGGAAAAAATTTCAAGAAGAAATGACAACCACTTCAAACGCTGCAGAAAGATTAAGTCATTAAAGGCTGAAGAATGTCTTCTGAGTTTACAATCAAATCTTTGGTCACCTTGGAAATAGCAGTAATTAGTCAACTACTGGTGGGGAGAAACTAGATTACAACAGGTTGAGGAATGAATAGGAGGCAGGGATGTGGCAATGATGAATAGAGTACTTTTTGAAGAATCTTAGCTATGAAAAGAAGTTAGGCAATATGTAAAGAGCTGGGGCTTCAAAGGCCGGTTTTTAAAAAATTTTAAAGACGTCATAGACATGAACATGTTTAAATATTGAAGAAAAAGTCCAGTAGAGAGGGAGAATTAAAGATATATTAAAGGGGATAACTTGATGGAGTAGTATTTTCGAGGAGGTGGAAGGAAATGGGTTCCAAAAATAACAATGGACAAAGAGATATCTCAACTGAGAAAATGTCAATGTAGATAAGTTTGTAGCTGGAAATGGGGGAGATCCAAAAATTTTAGTTCTTATCTGTGAAATGGGAAGAAAAGAGGTCTGAAATTTCACATATGCATGACAAAGCTCATAGACTTTGATCCAAAACAGGTTTTCTGGATTCATTTTTTTCTGTCAGATGGATCAATCGACATTCTCCTATTCATCCAAGCTTTAAACCTCAGTGTCATTGGTGATTTCCTCCTTTTCTTCCTTCCTAAAATCTAACGAACTATGAAGTGTTGAAACAGTAAGACTAGAAAGAACTTTGAGGATGTTCAAGTTATAAATGAGTAGCTCACATCCCACAGAAGTTAAGAGGTGTGTTTAGGTTTCCACTACAAGTCACTATTGGCAGCTGCCATGAGGCAAAACTCCTGGTCAGAAGGGGTCAGTGACCTACTAAAACTAAACATCTACCAGACTCCATCGTGTATTTCCCAGTCTATATACTACCTGGCACATAGCAGGGACTCAATAAATATTCAATGAACCCATGAATGAATGTTGGTGGTGCTGCCCCAGTGAAAAGTAAGAGTCACAGATTCAGAATCAATTTGGGTTTGATAGAACCTTGGTATCATCCTAGTTCAACTCCT